AAACATAAACTAAAGCGCATCTGCTATCTACTACAGTTAACTATGGCATGACCTTTGTTATCGGCGTAGGTATTATCGTAGGAATGCATTTCAAGCGCGTTCATTGCTGCATTGTTACGACGTAAGCTGATTTGTTATCGTAATCGCACGGTTATCGCTCCATTGTTTATTGTGTTTCAAAAGACCCATGTCGTGTTACATCTAATTGAAGCAGATTACTTAGTAGTTTCTATACCCATTACATTATTTATTCAATGAGTAATTAATGAATTTTTTTTGTGGTCTATTTTTGTATACATTATGTAAACAAATTTACTTGAGTAACAAATGTCATAGATATTTAATAAAGGTCTAATTAGTATTTAATCATCAACTGTGATTGTTATTAATAGAACTCGGTAACGGACTTAATATGTAATTAATAAAAATATTTTCTGATCGAGTTTGCCGTATTTTCTTATTATTTGCATCGGTGCAATCAAATGTAAGTTTGATTCAAATATAATATTTTAATAGAACTTAATTTTACATTGGATTATACGATGGGAATGTAAACGTGGGTTACAGGTCGCTTGTCGGGCTGGAATCAAGAATTCCAGTCACGAGCGTTCGGGAGATGTCGTGAGATGGCAGGGAGATTGCCGCTCGCTCGCCTCCGTGTTCCTTCAATAACACATTGCGCAATTTACTGCACGCGGTCTCAGTCGTGATACGAACTACAACTACACCATATCCTCAAGGTGGTTGAATTTTGTAATCACGATCACCTTACCAATCGAGTAAGATGACCCCTGATGTTTATTTGCGTTCAATCGCGTGTAATTTATATAAGATTTCGATTTTTAAATTTTAATTCGTTGCAGAATAATGTTACCACATCTATTGCAGTAATGTGTACTGGTTTATCTATAATTTTTAAGTGATTCACCAGTGGGTGTGATTTAATTCAAACCAAGATTAATATAAACATTGATGATTGTTTAATTGAAATCATTCAATCAGACAGACCTGATTCTTTATTGACCACGACGTGGTGCAATCCACGTCAAAACGTCGGCAATAATACTATTTATCTGTAGAAACTTTTTCATTGTCCTGATTGTGTATTTAAAAATATGTGTAAACAACGCGGAAGTTTAAAATTAACTAGAATGACAGGTGTTTTAAAAATACTGATGGGATAAGACTTTTATTCAAAATAACTTTATTTAATTAATTGAAGCAATATAATAAAATGGATGAAGAGACAAGTTAATCAAACCATCATCGTAGAAAATGTTCAATTAAAAGCGAATATAGTGCGGTGTTAAATAAATTTCTGCACACAATTTAGAAAGCGAGACTGCGGTTTGCGGCATACCTCTATATGTACAGTTTTCATTAAATTACAGTAATCTTGCACTCGGACATACGTTATGCAATGTATGATTGAGATAATTACTTTATTGCAGTATAGAGAAAGCTTTGTCACTGCTAAATGTCCTATTAACGGTTATTGTCCTAGTGGAAGCGTTTCATTACACGGTTGGCGACTCGACACGCTCTACTGCCTTTAACGAGATAGCTTCTCGACAAACATACCTACTTGGATAACATACTAACCGGTTAATAATGCCAGTCCCGTTTTACTATCTTATCGCTTTATAATTGTGCATTATTTGTTCATTAATTTTAATTATTCGAACAATCGCACCACTCACTAAATCAATTATAAAACAGATCCTCTTATCGGCAAATACATACGCGGTTGAATAGGCACATTATAATCCAAGTAAAAGCTGTATTCTCTACATTGGCACGTACATTCGATATTCGTGAGCTCGTTGAATATTCAAATGATTTGATTGATCGGTTTTAGTCACGCGCTCGCTCGCTCGACTTCCTCCACAGAGCAAGTTCTTTGAGCTCATAAAATCGGTTTAAATGATTTCAACCTTATGACCTCATCTATAGTACTTAATAGAGTAGAGAGATCTAATAGACTCACTTTGTTTGGATGAATAGTGATGTATCTTCTTAGCGATTAAGCGACACTTATTGTAGTTCCTGCATGTGGATTTATTCTTATAGGATCCACTCGTTAGTGGGTAGCTCGCTAATGATACGGTAAACGGCATTGCACTGGAAATGAATAATTCAAACCACGCGTTTATGGATGTTGTGTTGCGGTTATAATAATTCACACAATAGGTTATTTGCACAGTTGTGTTGGTTTAATAGGTACGGCAGTTTTCCATGAATTGGGTATTTACTGGGTCTCGCCTACTTTACGGTTACACGGTGAATTTATTTACATAGTTTCTGTTGAATCGATCGATAGATACGTACCTTTATGTTGCAGTGTTTAGTGCAATAGCTACTTACGGCGGCTCGAGCCCGCCCTTCATGAATTATTCAAGTCTTGTTCGTGGTCAGGATTTACGGCCGACGGCGCGCCGTAGGCTACGGCGCCCGCCTCTCTTGCCAACTACGTGTCAACTTTTTGCCCTTTCTTTCTATCTAATGAAAACCGCTCTCACCGGTTAGCTCCCAAGTTCCCGACGTTTGTCTTGTCAATCAGGCGTTGTCGTGCGTTGGCTGCAGCGTCGCCGCACTCTCCTGTGGAGTTATTTGTGGTCCCATTGTCCCCGCCCGCTGATCACTGTTGCATTGTCTCATACCTTTTGTTTACATTCGCTCAATAGTCGTTTGTTTGTAAAGAGACAAGTTTGTTTTCTCTTTGTGTCTTCGTATTCTTTGGACATTGTATTAACAGATGTTGAATTTCTTGTTATCGTATGTTATTGCATATTGTCAAATGTGTTGTCTGTTATATAGGTAGCATTACTGGCAAATTAAACTTATTTGAAAAATGAGCATTAATTAATTCAATGACTGTGTTTAGAATTAAAAGAATAATTAGGAATTGTTAATACATTACGTCAGTTTATTTAGATTGTCTATTTTAGGTCGCTACATAAATTAATTAAAATTAATGGTTATAATACTATTTTGCTCGCGCCAATGAAACTTACCGAGTGTTACAAGGTTTCGATAAATATCCGGCTTGTAAGAGACCGGTTTTATAATTTATTGCATTGTTATCGGTCGAATAATTGCAGCTAAATGGCAGTTCGTGTAGAAGCTTGATTGTTTCGTTTTATTAATTTTAATAGTAATTTTTTAAGATAATAATACTATTAGGAACGAACTGCGGTTTGCATAGTAAACATTAACTTACCAAGTGTCAGTTCATCATTTGTAACGTTTGTTGTACAATAAAAACATAGATGGCACGACAGGTTTGACGGGTCGAATGATGATTGTATAAATAATGTACAGCGATTATGTAAATGCGAATCCTTAGTAACAACACCCTCATTAAAATTCCATTGTTGTTTATTCGACACGCAAACAAGTTCTTAATTCCTATTGTGGGCAAGCAACGGGTCGAATTTTAGATTCAAATGGACGTATCGTGTTTCACTATAAATAATTTAATGACTATTGCGTTTTTTTTATACGACTTTTATATTTATCGTTACCGTTGTATACTGCTTAAATGTTAATGTATCTAAAGATAAATAAAGCCTACCCAAAAATAACCTATTCATGATTATTTGATATTTTCACTGTTAAAGGAAAATTGGATGATAACATTGCTTATCTATGAGCTATATCAAATGGACATTGTATTTCTTCAAGTACTTTGTTGTTGATATGTATTTAGTTACGCATACCTATTCGCGTAATGCATGTATATAATTCTTAGTAGTTTATATTATATTGTTTGTCTCTAAGACGGGATTGCGTCATGCACAATAAACTATGCATGAGGCGACATATCCGCGCTTTTGTCACATTGCCCTCGTTCTGGTTACGCGCCAACCCCGTGCCATGGAGAATTGGCGCTGAACTGGTTGGCCGATTTCCAGCCCGTCATTCACAAACCACCGACAAATCTGCTGACGTGCCCTCACCTATCAGAATGTTTAATTCTTTCAGTTTCCGTTCAAAATAGATTGATTTAAAGAAAGCGGATCTCAACCTTAATAATTACAAGTACTGGATGTAAATGTATTATATTTTATAAAAATTCCACGATATATTACATGCACATATATACGAGTATAATAATAATTATAATAATAGTCTTTATTGAATAACAAATTACACCTAGTTACATTTACTAACCACCGAGCTAGGCCGAGCCTGTATCTAAGTGGTTAGTTAAAAACTTCCTTTGACTTAAGTATTCATAAAAGACGTTACAATCTAAAACATAAACACACTCATTTGCAATGTTCAATTTGAATATATGCATTATTTTGGACTGTATTGTTGATAAATTACACTTAAGTAGCAAAGGGCCAGCATTAAATTGACACCGATTGTCTGCAAGAGTACAAAATACCTATTTATTGTCCACAAAAGTTGGAGTGTGAATGAGTTTATATTGGCGTCATTCCAAACATGTTGATCGGAGCCAAAATGACGTCAGTTTTTCACAATATTTATTCAATTGTTCTGACATTTGCGGTTAATGTTTTTTTTTTTTAGGCGAATGGCTTCACGAAACAAGCATTGAATATAAATAGTGAATTACATGACATACATTTGAATCATAAAGTTAATTAACTTTTAACCGCATTTTAATTAACTATGTATGTAAAAAAGACTAGCTGTTTCTTTGTACGGGTTCGCCCACACAAACTAGTTTTTTTATTTCTCGCGAGAATTTCTAAGAATCCTTTCTCACTTATGGTATATGAAACTTTCCGTGGGAAATTTTATATTGAAACCCTGTACTTTCGGTTGTATATTGATAGCCGGTCAAACAGTTTCTTCTTTTATTATTATTATTATATTCATATATTTAAGTACATAAAAGTTATTAAAGCTGTTCGAAGGTTTTTCATATTTTTGGAAATTGATATGATGTCTTTAGCTTAAATTCCGTACCTACCAATTTTTTATATCCACAAGTTATACTTATTAACTGTTGTTTTCTATTGTTACAGGTGTTGCTGTAAGTGTGAGTGCGAGTGATGTCGTCGATGTCAGTGACGAAAACGACAAGTGTGTGAAACAAGAGGAAGTGAAGCTTGAAGTGTGCACCAATAGTGAGGGTGAAGTGCGGAGTGAAGTGACTGGTGGTGCAGGCGCGGATGGTGTTGCCAGCGCCGTGGCCTCCGAGGAGGACGACTGTGTGATAGTGTGCGCGCGCGATGCGGACGAGAGGTCCGACTCGGGCGTGAGCGGGGTGCGGTCCGGCGGGTCGGCCAGTTCAGTCGAGGAGCGGGAGTGGCGCGGTATGGCGCACGGTTATGGCGGCGGCCCCCCTCCGCCCCTACTGCACCTGCCTCCGCCGCCGCCGACGCTCTACCCCACCCTGCTGTGGAAGCAGCAGCACACGCCGACGCCGATCCACGGGCCGCTGCACCATGCCATCCCTGATGACTACCTGGCGGCCACGTACGATAGAGAGAGACATGAAAGACTGCTACAGTGAGTTTATCATTTTGCATAACAATAATAATAACTTTAGAAAAGTTCGTTTACTAAAATGACCCTAACAAGAATCGATCCCGGATCTCATTTATTGTGTCTCATATAATGGTGGGTACGTTGCTTTTTGTAACGTACCCACCATTACGGCACGGACGGAAGTCGTCATACGAAATTATACTCCATGATGAGTTTTTGCATGGTGCTGGGAAGGTTACGGACATTGTAAAAAATGTGTAACTTACGAATTCGGCAAAATCTTTGATTGTGAGAATGTGTCACTTATATATTTATTCAATCTTTTTACAGTTCTTTCACAATTAAAATTGTCAAAATGTCCGTTGTCACTACAACGTCCAAAGTACAAGTAAAGCTGTCTCACACACACAAACAGTACACAATACAGTTATCGTACAAGATAAAAAATATGTTTAAAAGGCAAACTTAATCCAGAAACACTTCATAGCCAGGAACATTCTCTCTCATTTTCGGTAACTTCCAATGTTTTCTGTAAGGTAGTTTACAAACTTCCACTTCCGGAGAACTCCAATCTTCGTCAAAAAATTTGTAAGTCACTAAAAATATGACAAAGATGCGTGTCATCTGTGAACTTTATTTTGAGATTATTAATAAGAATTCTTTTTTATTTCATACTATAAATTTCAGTATGTTAATAGAATTTAAAAGTTTTTTTATACCTTTAACTTTTCATTTTTTATCGTTGCAATATTAAAAAAAGTGTTACTTGTTTGAGTTTAACTGGATTTTCATTTGTTTAGTTTCATTTAATTGTATAGTTTGTTTTCCTTCGAGTAGTTACCGGAGCAAGAGCAAGGGTAAAAAATCTACTTTCGAATAGATTTAGAAATATAATATAAAGTATTTTTTTTTATTCTTACTTATAAAAGAAAATAAATGTTCTGCCATTTAGTTTTCATACACGGGTTCTTTACTACTGATTACCTATTAAATACACATTCTATTAGATTAGGCAACAATAGTCGAGGGATGGGCAGCAGTGTCTCTCTTAGAACATCATCAAAGTCTAACTGCAAAAGCTAACCCGCCTGCCAAGCATGGCAACTATTGGTAAAATCCCATTTTATAAAGGAGACCTGTTTAACAGTGGACAATTAACAGCTGATGTAATATAATATAATTTGGCCTTGCACGTGTTTACTTGTACTCAGAAGGCTTATAGATATAACTTCATTGCGCAACTAATTGCGATTGTTGAGATTCGACGTCATTTTGGTTTTTCTTTATTGTTATATATGGTATTATTTACTTGGTCTAAAAATATTTATCAGTAGGTTCTTACTGTAGTACTGTATAATTTTATCAGATTAGCTCTATATCTGCGAGACAAACAACTTGTTATCTTATTTCACATTATTGTATTATTAATGGAATGCAGGAATTTACATTAACACTAAGTAAATAGAATAATTTATTACCGGACTAGACACATCAATCTTCTATTGATAATATTTCAATGTATATGTAAAATGAGTCATAAACACATGTAGGAGTTCGAATTGCTGTGAGTCATGTTATTTCATCGAATTACTTTGTTGTGAATATGTCAAGTTACAACTCTACTAATATGGGAATAGAAACGTATATAACTTTACAAACAGTAGGTTTTACCTGATAAAATTTATTAAATGCTTCACGGCCTTTTTATTTTACTGGAACTCCCACATAACAAATGATAATAAATAAAAGATACGTATTTGAATTTGTTCATGCACGAGTAAGCTTGGGAAAACAAATTATTATGATCGGATCGAACTGCCTTGACAATGGGATTGATTTTGAAGCCCCATGCTCTAAATCTGTTTATAAAACCACTTTTTAAGGGTTATCATAAATTCAAAGTAGTTTAAACTCAAACCTATTATAAATTCCGTAATTAATATAGTTTACGATTGTCTTTAGAATAAAGATTGACTCTCATGTGTCATTAAATTTAAATTTTATTTATTTACACATACACTGAACAAACTTTTCACTTAAATAATATCATTCATTAGATACAATCTCTTTTTAAGAAAATTTTATTCTGAATTAGTTCTATTTACCAGATGGGATTTTAGATTTGATTTAAGTGTGTGAATATGTATGTCAAAGTGATTAATTAATATTATTTTTATTGTCCTCGAACGCTGCTGATTATAGTATGGAGCTTCCGTTAATAATTTTGCTGATCTAATACTTCAACTTTTAAATTATTAAAAAATTCCAATGAAAATTGGTAACAGATTTAATCTGAACACAATAGTTATTGTAGCAAAATCATATTGTTTATAGTCACTTATATGGGTCGTGACCCTTGTGACCTGAATGACCTTGACCGTGGTAAGCTAATGTAAGGTAAAAAAATACAAAATCCCCGTCGACAGTTCGTGGTCACGAATACATTACATATTCCTTTACACTATTTTTATAACATAGCCCGATTATGATAATGGCGAAGTATAAATAAAGTATTAATTCATTCTTTATAGTCTGTTTAGATCACTTTATGCTTTAATAATTAATCAAGTTATTCTAATTGTACGGACTTTAATAGGTACCTACTACAAGGGATCAATTAATCGTCAAATTTGACAATGTATTTAGGGTACAGAAGGTCATCGTCTACTTATTATTCTTGTCAAATAATATATCGTCATCGAAGTAACCGGTTTAAACTAATTCAGTTATTAAGTGGTAATAATTTTACACAAAATACCTACTTACCATGTGTGGTCAATTACTTATTTTACTAATATTACATTGTTTGTTACCTCTTAGCGTTTTAACGACTTACCTAATTGTCATGTTTGGTATACACGTAGTACTTGGGAAGGACATAGACTATTTTTTATTTCGGCCAACAATATATATAATTATCCCGGACGCGAAGTTTACCAGTAGGTAAATTGTATTATTTTATGTGTAAATATAAATCTCTGTAATCAATTCACAGTTCTATTAGTGTTTTTTTTTTTTTTTTTTTTTTTTTTTAATTAAATTACTCACTTTTACCCGCGACTTTAATCGAGTAATCAGGATAGGAAGTAGCCTATATACTTGTCTATTCCATATAGTGTGTGTTTAACAAATTTCATAATGATTGGTTAAGTCGTTAAGGCGTTAAAAGGTAATAAACGTAAGGATAACAATTTTGTTGATGTATTTTGTTTATTTATTCATAAATCCATTTGCCGAGTTGACCAAGGGATAGTTTAATAATTGAAAGAGTACTGCTTAATTTTAAACATTTGCGTTGTTTACATATTTTCAAAATTTATGATCGGAACTTAACGTGATTAAAGCTAAATAGTAAGAATAGAAGAGAATAGTAATTTTACTAACATATGTATGAATATTAAATGATTTAAATTGTCGAACATAAATGTCCGATTCTATTGTAATATTAATGAAATAAAGTCAATAGAAATAAAATATGCAAATAAGTATACAAATATTTAAGTATATAATATAATTCAGAGTCGACTAGTTAATTTGTTATTTAATAAAGACGTTTTCTTTTCTTTCTAGTTGTAGTTTTCTTTTTGCTTGTCGCGGAAACGGTTATTTTTTTTCCGTTTCTTTATACTTTGTACTTTTTTTGCCTGTTTCTATATTCTTTAATATATCCAACATTTATATTCATAGCATCAATAATAAAAGTAGCTTGTTTTTGTAATTGATTAATTGAAATTTATTCCAAATATAGAAAAGTAACTACTTGAAAATTTATTACTTACGTATAAATTTTTACCTCCCATTGTACCCAATATATTTAGACGTGGATTTTTTTGTTAAATCTAAGAAATTTTGCTCATGCCAATGTCATAAAAATAACATCATAATAAATCTAAATAATGATTTAAGGATTTTGAACTCAGTTTAATAGTTTTTTTTTTTCATAAAAGCCTCAGAGGTCTAACAGTCCTATTTTCGTTATTGAACTTTTGTCTCTATCTTTTCTGGTAAATTCATGATTTAGAAGAATGTGATTATATTAACTAATAGCTTAAATTACCGTTACGTAAGTATTCTTCGAAAATCGTTTCACTTCAATAGTTTTTCTCGATCGTTGGCATGTCCTGTGCCTATTTTTTGTCGTATTAATTGTCATAACAATTCTTAATAAAAGGTCGTATATCTATTAAAATATCATGGTAAAATACGAATACTTAAAAAGATTCGAAGAGAATTTGATTAAAAATGTACATTTAGTGCTACAATTTCCAAATAGTTTTATATTGAGTGTAAGAGTAATTATAAAGGTCAAAATTATCGCCTAATTATAATTATTGAACATTGGATGTAACCTGAATTGAAATTCATGATAATAATTTCTTTCAATAATCATTTTCCTGTCTTTATTTCGGTTCTGTGAGGTCGTCGTAATATATTTTATTCATATTACACATAGTTTTAGCTTTTGTAATTATTAATTAACTTGCACACATGGATATTTCAAGCTCACTAAAGGTGCTTTTTTATAATTAAGACTATAATAAGTTCTCTGTATAAATGCGTAAGTTAATGTTTTTGTATCTAAACATTTAGTCGCAACATTATGACTGTCAATTTTTTATGTGTTTTTGACGTTTACTTTTCCTTCCGTTTTCGTATACAATACGAAAACAATTATTGATGATTGGACATCTATATATTTGACATATTGATTACAATTTATTTCATAAAGTGTATAATTTAAAGTAAGCAAGCTCCGTATTTCACTTATTTGTTTTGTATTCCAAGTCATATTTAAAGAGGTAATACGTGTTTTTACTTCTTGTCACACACAAATTTAATTTGAAAATGTTATATCATGATTCCTAAAGTTGAAGCCATCCTAATGTATGTCGTCACTAACCTCTGTTTGAAAAAAAAAAACCACACATGCCGTTAACTCTTATCTTGTAATATATTTACTTCCCTTATATTCAATTATCCCTTGTAGGTTGTGTAAGTTAGGCGAATGCGTCCTTGACCGA